GGATTAGATTTGGAAAATAATAATAACGGTGTCGCTGTACTTCTTAGCAGTCATACTGGAGGTAATTAATTATCTATTATTAATTAATTTATTTATTTATAGATCATCAAATGTAACCTTATTATTATTATATCATTATTATTATTTGAAATTAGGACACAAATTTGCCGGTAATGTTATAGTTTACCGTGGTGGTCAAGGTATATGGTATGGACGAGTAATTCCATGTCATGCAAAAAATATAGTTGAGACTACGGTCTTGGATGGGAAAGTTATCCAAGATTTGTATCGTGGATCAATGAATGGGAGTTTCGCTCCTGGAAGAGGTGGAAGATTGGATTGGTAAATGGATCGACACCATTTTTTACACATACAAACGTTTTTTTATTATTAGTCAAAATCTTTAATATAGAATTCTTAATATAATGTCATGATTTGTAAAGCTTCATTAAAAACAATTATAATGTTTTTCTCAAAATTTTAAATTTCGTAATGATGAAAGTTCATCGAATTTAAAAATTATGGTAAACTTATGTAAACAACTTATTCTATTTCAAGTAAGTCCTTTAAATTCTGAATATAAATTTTAACTGATGCATAAAAATCGAACAGGTCTTCGATTTCTTTTTTCAACAAAACACTACTCGATGCGTTCAAATATTAAAGCGTAGCTTTCACCAGTTTAATACAAGGAAGTCTCGTATGTTTTTAATATATGTTTTTAATTGAGGAGTATAAAAAAAAATACATGAATCATCTAATAAGTTAGTCATTGGAATTGTTTTTCTTTATCTCAAATTCAAATAAAAATTACTGTAGCGTTAACTTTGGCATTGCAAAAAACCAACTTTTAGTTAGAGATGCAAATCGTCTCTATTGATTAATCGGATTTTATTATACTGAATATACAAGCCGATCGAGCCGTTTTGCATCACTACTTTTAGTATCATTTCCGATTCAAAGTTACTAAAAAAAAAAAAAAACAACCGAAAAAGAATTCAAAAAAGTAATAACATATATTTTTCAAACGGTGATTTTTCTAGTTCATTCCTTGCTGTCCCTGGAATCGGAAAACCATACTATTAGAAACGTCGCACACATTAACTGAATTATTATTGGTGTAACCTGTTTCAGATTTTCCATATGCCCAAAAATACGGAATTAGCATTCTACCGACATATTCTATGTGAACACCGTGAGTGATTTTTGTAATTCGGCCGTTAATACAAATACACAAATTTTCTTCATTTCTTAAGAGATTAGCGTACACAAAAATCGATCATGGCGGCCACATGGAACATATAACTGTGTTATTGGTACAAACTAGATTTTTAAATTTTAAATTTTTAAAAATAAACATAAATTATAATTTTACATTACTGTACATGAAATTTTATGTGTAAGTTTCAGGCAATTAAATTTCATGTTATACATAAAGTACCAGATTTAAAAAAGTTATGAGATCCGAATTGTAACTTCTAAATCGCCGAAAATTTGATAAAATTAATTTACGAAACTTACACAAAATTGCATAAAATTCAGTAATTTATCGGAAATTCCGGTAATTATGATTGACCAATTTATTGGTTAATCGAAGTTCTAAACTTTAAAATGTCACTATACGTACGTACATATCTATAACGAAATTAATTCCAGCAAAAGTCTTTATCATGAAATCTCGATATCTTTGTCGCAGACAAAATTCCGACAAACCAAAATTTTATTAAAGATATTTTTAACAAATCACGAAAACGAAAAATACTTGAACCTATTCTAGAACATTAATGGCTAGTGAAAAGTAATTAAAAATTACTTTGTGTTCGCTCTGTTTATGGTATAGTTCAAGCATCGTGTGAATTTTATTTACGTGTGGCTTCAGAAGATATGCATTTTAATGTGTATTGTGGTTTTGCATAAGTTATTATATATGTAATTTTTGATTCTTTGGTTTATTTGATAATACGTAGCAGTTATAGAAAAAAAAAATAATTTATGGTATCGTTTAATATAGATGCAAAGTTATGTTGTGGTTATAATTTCTCC